AACACATACAAACACGCATACACGCATAAATCGCGCAAATACGCTTACACACGCATACACCCGCATAACCACACACATACACACACATACACACACATACACACATACATACATAGACAATAATTATATACGATAACATACACGTGCACAATCATCATAAACCTATGATTATGGAAACTATTAAAATAAATTTTTTTCAGTGGTGTTATGCCATTATAATATATACGATGAACATCGTATAGAAGTGTTTCATTTGTGCCACTTGTTGTTGTTCGAGTTAACTTGTGGACGTTTTCTGGAATGGGTTGGTGCAATTGTAGCGAGCGTACGGCTTTTGTCATCGCAAGCCAGTAAATGACCACCAGCGCCTGGCACAACATGTTCCCTAGGCACTGTGCCTCTGCTTTCACCACTGTGTTATTAAAACTATAAGCGCAGAATCGTTATGCTTGTATGTATGTATGCATGTACATTATGTAGTATGTAAGTTTTCATATCTAAATGTTAGTATGTATTTGGATTTGTTGTATTATGTATGTAAATGCCATTTGCGTGTGCTAGGTAGTGATAAGGAAATGTTTTTATATTGTTATGTGTGTGTGTGTTTTGTATTGGTAAATGTAATTGTTCTTTCATGTTGATACATTCTGCCACCGGACAACATAGTCATAGATCACAGGAATTGCAAAATAAAGTTTTTATCTACCTATCCATCGCACTGAACGTAAATGAAAACAAAATGAATCAACAAGCACACAAATCGTGGATCTCCTTATTTGCCATCAAGATATACAGTGTTGTATTGAAAAATGTATTTACAAAATTTAAAAATGTTTTGAAGATGAACGTGCAGAAAGTTGATTGAAAAATTAAGGTAGTTTGAATACATTTACCTAAAAGGAAAATACCAGAATTTCACTACAATTCTATAAATGGTTATACCATTGAATCTGAATATCAAAGGTCTTATCAAAATTTCATGGCCATATCAGTGAATCGGCTGTCATTTGTAACAGAATTGTCGGTAAATCTTAAAGTGATTACGACGATGTAAAACTAGTTAATTTTGTGTCATGAAGAGAAAGCCAAGCAAATAAAGTAATATCTTTTTTAAACGAGTTTTTCCCCAATAATTCATTTCTATAAAGTATACAAAAAATTCTCAATGGAAATTTAACGAAAATTTAGACGTACCCTGGAATAACAATATGCAATATTTTTAACAATATACAATATAAAGAATTTAGAAATGAGTTATACCATATGGTATCCGTATTGGATACGACGGAAAGAAAACGTGTATATTGCAACAATATTTACCTACTCTGAGTGTTTGAGGATGGAATAGACGGTAAATATTTGGCATAGGATACTCAAAATATAGATTAAACACATCAATGATATGGGACGTTGCCGATTTCAAATTATAAATGTTTATTTAGGTGGTGTCATATGATGGAATGGGAAAGGGATGGACAACCAATGGTAACACGTTTTATAGCCGATGTAGGCGTCAGAACGTAGTAACTGACTGTCGGCAGACGGTTAGAAACAATGGAAAAATTCGTTACAGAAAGTTATAAGACAAGTGAAAACGGAGATGACATTTTTTACCAAGACTTGAATTTTGGCAGAAGCTGGTAGCGATCACTTGAGAAGCTTTGAAGACGTATTAGTGAGTATTTCTAGGAGTTTTTTGGATTCGATATGGGACATTATGTGGAATTTTTAACTATGGAAGATAGAATTGTCATGCGTTTAGATAATTCATGTTGCTAAAACAGTTTAGTGAAAGAAATTATCAAGATAAATTGAAATAGAAATGTCCATCCCAGTCACTCGGGAAATGATTTAGTGTAAATAGTTTGTGTTAATTATCATTAGAACGCGGCACCAAATTCGTTTATTTACTTTTGTTGATATTTAGGGAAATCGATATTTAGATTAAAGGACAACAATTTACAATGTTAACATCAATAACGAAGAACAGAAGATATTCGTTGGAATTCAAGAAGTGCGTGAGAAATCTTCACTTCAACGTAGTCACAGCTTCAACGTCTTCGCGAATCGTAAGCGTTGCAGAGAACATTGTACAAATAAATTTTAAAAAGTGCAAAGAGATAATCAGATGAGCTCTTAAAAGGCATTAGTAGATCAAAGAAATTAATATTTCAATTGAATGGTATGGCAATTAAAGTAATTGTCCAAAGTAAAAATTTGTAAAGAAAGTAACAAAACTTTGTTAAATTAATGTTGGATCAATAAACGATGTAAATATGTTATTGAACCAAGAAGGCCTATTCATTTAACCGTTAGATACCACAGACCAAGCATTTTGTTTTTTACAAAATAAGGTTTCAGAGAATATCCAGTCCCCATGGATCGGACGTCGACCCACGTATGTATTACTCAACCATTTAAGTTGCAGTCGAGCATTCATAAAACTTATAATAAAAATTAAATTGTTTAAAGTTTGAAACAATTTCATACATAAATCAGAAACTTTTGTTAAAGGGCTTGTTCAAAATATATTAAATGTCTAAATCAAAATAGGTGACTATTATTACGTACCACTCTACGTTTCCATGTAACAAAGCGTACGAACACGCAAATTATCATTTTGAAATGCCCTTGACCAATAAATAGTTCTATTCTTGAACGAAAAGATAATATGCAATCCTGCCTGAAATAAATACTGTGAATAACAAAAATAATACACGGCAAAGCGCATTGGCAGAATATATTGTAGTATTAATTGTTATTTGTTGTGACATCCACCAAAATTACACTGACTATTCCACTCGTGAATCTAAAACCAATAGTGTTTAACAGTAGTGTTTAAATATACATACAAAATGCCCCAATCAATAGGATGCGTCTAAAAACGTTTATCGCTTTTTCTATGCGATTTTACTTACCACTTCTCCCTACTGGCCAATCATAAACTGTGACTCTTCTATCTTAGCGAAGCGATATACATCGATCGCTATGTCGATATACAATAAACCACGTATGGACTATAACATAACCTCTTCGGTTTTATCATAGCTTTCAGTTATTTTCAGTGTTTGGCGCATTTTGGAACTCTGTTGGACACACTTTCATTTGTTCAACAGTACAATTAAATACAACTCGTGCTTTAAAAATTCCCTCCTCACTTCGCGTGTAGGGATTCAACGATACTTTCCAAAGCACTCGTGGTATTACCTACGATAATAGTGTCAGCTCTGCTACTCACCGGAAAGAGAAGAAAATGAGCAGGGACACCAACAGCGCCACGAAGGAGATGGTGTAGCCGATCACGTACAGCTGGTTCACCACTTGCCGGAACTGCAGCAAACATGCAAGATGAAGTTTACATCAGTAGTTTGAGTAATATAAGTATCCAAATTTCAACTCGGTACACAACAGTATGTAATTGAATATTTTTTGATACGTTAAAGCTTCTTATTGCATTCGTTACGGAGCTCGATATACACTGCATAACGTACCTGGATCGAAAGGATCGTGGTTAAGAGGGAAACATGGAAAAAGTTCAATGACCTTCTCTTATGGAGAGTATTATGGGAAGGAAATATGAAAAGAAAAAACAAGCAAAGTTAACATTAGTTAATTAGTAAATACGTAAATCTGAATCAATATAATTACATACAAAATAAAATTATGTTTGCACCACGAGTGTTTACAGGTTCTAATGATCTCGGGCGACAAAAAACCCTCAGGTGTTTTGCCACCGCTCGATCATTCGAACCCTTATAATGTCCCGGGGCCTAATAACTATTTTTCTTTACACTTGTCTTTTTATGAGCAATCGAAGGTTAAGAAAAAATGAGTCTCGTACATTGATTACGTACATGTACAGAAAACACTGGCAGTAAAAAGTGTTGACCGAATGCGTAAGAGAAGGCGTTAGCATGCGGATGGGAATTGACAGTGAAAGCATCGGACGTGTTTGCTTCGAGGCAGATACCGCAGAGTAGAGGCCAATGTTATGTGGTTAGCCGGAAGAGCAGGCCTGATGGCCCGAGTCTCGCCATATTAATAAAGTCACTTTGTTGGTCCCAAATTGGCCGGCTAGGACAATGCGGTCATACACCTGGACATACAGAGTCTCAGTAACATTTACTTCGTGGCAAAGTGAATATGACTCCTTTGGGGGGGGGGGGATTTCAGTACCATGCTGAATCCAATTTTTATCCCCCAGGATTGATAATCCTGATGGGATGGACGATACAATGATGTTGATAGTGACGGATGAAAGGACGACACACACAGACAACACACCCATACCGAGGCGGGTCTCAACCGGTGAACCTTCGTACGAGGTCGCCACGGCACTATTGCCTTAGCGATCTAGGCTATTCGGATCGGATTGAAATAAATTATTATTATTATTATTATTATTATATTATTATTATTATTATTATTATTATTATTATTATTATTATATTAAACAAGGGTAATTATTATGGATTGCTCTAGGCGTGTTGAATGCGCTGTGCATCAACTCCACAACAAAGCTGACATTGCACCTGTTGAAATATTTTGCACAAAGCCGAGGGCGTTCTGCATATTTAAAACGCTGCACTGTTCCCGAGGCATTTGGTCGTGTGCACCACGAAAACGCCAACCGTTGTGAAACATTTTGGTTTTATAAACTGCTGCAAATTGAAATTGGAATGTCGAATAGATGTTATTTTCCTTCAAGTAAAAACTAATTTCTATGGCAAATCATTGATCACGAGATATTGTTTAGAGTCTACAGATATTTCTTTTCCCTCTGGCTGTATGCAAGAGGAATTATTTGAGAATACGATCATTTGTATGTAATGTGCAGCGAAAACTGATTTTTGTCATAAAAACTCAGGAATCGGGAAATTTGCCTATAATAGAGTTTAAAAAGCGCGCACTTTTTAAGCGACGTGGAGGAATTCACAGCGTTTCTTCGTCTCAAGTTGTTGTAGGGAGTTTGACACTACGCTGATACGGCCAGAGGAGGGAAACTGTTCATAGTGCAGACTCAGGGTTTGAGGGAAGGAGCTTCTCTTGTAAACTGCAATCTGTTGGGGGTCATTTGAATTAGAATAAAATGGGCCTGGGGGAGCAGAGTCATGTGAAACCAAAGGGTCAGAACTTAGGGCGATACGTGATGTAATCTACCTTTCTCGGACCGTGTCTGGCGGAAACTCGATTGGAGGAACAAATGGAACTGATTTTCAAGGTTCCAACAGTGGGATTATTAATCAAATTATTTCGATGTCCACCTAGAGAAGAGGGATTGCCCAGATAAGCTGAATTCTTTTTTTCACTCCCTTCACAACTTGATTCGTATGATGATCGATTCAGCTGTTCTGAGATTGTTTCCTAGAATTGTTTGTTGTAATCGAATTAAACGGGATAGTTAATTTTTCTTTCGGACAATTTAGAAGTCAGGTTACAAGAACAGATTGCTGTTGTACAGAGAGGACATCATACTTCGCATTACTCGGGCTTATAATCGGTACTCGTAAGGGAAGGAAACTACAGCTTTTCTCGGTGTAGTATGTTAAAGCGTCCTGATTAACAGGTGTTAACGAATACAAATCCTTAGTTTCCATGATCCCTATTTTCACATTTGACGGTGTTTGGTCGTGCACTGGTTTCAGCGATATTAAAAATGTAGGTTGCAGAACTCTGAGGCACGAAAAATCACGGCAATACCTTGTCGTTGAAGTTAATATTTATTGTTGAAAATAATATTGCTATCATCTAGCATTAAGCGAATCAACCAATGTAAATCCCAAGAAACAAGTTTAGCAAAATAGACAGGTTTTGACCAGTTTATTTGTAATCGTATGCGTATTTAAATAGGCAACTATTTTGTTATGTTTCACATAAGTATTTGCCATGGACATCTTTTCTCCTATTAAGAAACTCGCACGAGACGCATCTTCCCCAGCGGGGCTCTGCTCAGCCGAGACCCGATAGGTCCCCTGACAGGTGTAGTAGTGTAGTAAATGTAAACGTGTGTGTGTGTGTGCAAGTGTGTGTGTGTGCAAGTGTGTGTGTGTGTGTGTGTAAGGGAAGAGTTGGGGACGAGGGTGAGGAAGGCAAAATTGCGCGCGGCCTGTGGTCCGATTGCTAGGATATTGCTCCGGCAGTCGCCTGGTATCGATTGGGGCCAACCCATGGGAAACTAACGCCGCTGCCGCCCTCCACACGAAGGCTAAATTCCCCCTGTCTCGTTTAGTGGTTATTCTATATTACGAGAGACTTAGCGACTGGCGTCGGGTTAACTCGCAAGAGATGCGCACGCGCATTCACGAAGTAAGGAGATGTAATGAGTTGAAAGCGCCTTCTTCTCCAGAATTTCATCTCCTCTCAAGAGAAGGCCCTGGAGGAAATTCGGCGCTCTCCAGAGGCAGGCAGGTGATGTGCCCGGATCGTGGGCGTGAAAATATGGTCGTTCGCAACTCCAAAGTTTCGATCGTTAATTTGCATGTCGTTATTCAGACGCCGCTTCCCCATTTCCATGCCATTAGCGCTCCCAGCCCAGCGATGTCGCGGCTTCGAGTCCCATCTGCGCAACTCGTCACGCGCTCTCCACGCTCAATGACAGACGAGAACGATCCGTCATCTTATACCTTCGGGGGAAAAAGGGTTTACACTCACATTTACGAGAAGATATTTTTTTGTTTCCAATAAACACCTTTCTTTTTTTACTTTCTCCAATACTTAATAGAAAGTTTCATATCGATAGTTTCGGGTAAGAAATCGTCCGAAACGTTTAATAAAACACTACCATGAAAGTCACTCCTAATAAGACTGTCACAAAATAAGAATTATGAAGCAAACTGGAAGTAGGAAAAGACGAGAATGAAATAAGAACAAGATTGTAATGAAAGAATTATCAATGCATTTGAAGAATGTGACAGATCGTCTTTAGTATTTTTATTACTTTCACAGAATGGGGATTACAACTCCGAGGTCAGATATACTATCACGAGGAAGACTGTCTGTGAACATATAATTTTTATTCGAAACTAATTTTCTATGAAAAAAAAATAGTGAATGTTTCTCTACAACTACTAGTGTGAATATACACCTACGGTTTTGACTTGCGAAGGCGGTGGGTTGAGTAACAGAAGGAAGACAATTTTTGAAGGAAGTAGTAGGATATCTCCGCAGTAGTTGATGGCCAGTTACATAAAACAAGGAAACAATCAATTCTATCACACGAATTCGTGAGTAGTGGGATGAGTGACATATTTTTTGTACTTATAATTCATTATTTCATAACATACTTTTATCTAGCGTAAGATTTCGTGTGAAACGCTTTTAATTTCTGTACATTTAACCATTTTAAGTATTTTGAACTTTTATTTTGAAATTTTTGATGGGCTTATATTCTTCATTATTTAATTTTACACAATATTTAACGAAGCTACTTTTCTTCCTTTTGGCGTAGGAGGGTTCGACGTCGAACATTCCCCTCAAGCGGTGCTTGCAAGTTTCACAAGTTGATACTAGTGGCAGGAAATACGAACACCAAGCTATGTTTTGCGCGCGTATTTTTGATCGTGCATTTGAATGCGGCTCTCATTTGGCCTACGGGTGTAGGTTTCCGATCGTCATTAAACAATGGATGGGGGGGGGGCGGACTGAGTGCTACGGTTGGAGAATCACGGGAGAGGACGCGAGGGCTCTGGGCACGTGCGCGCGTGTGCCGCGTGCCTGCGTGCGGAAGCGCCCACCTGCAGGTCCTCCATGTCGATGCAGGTGGTGTAGTTGGACCAGGAGCGGTTGCTCTGCGGGTGGTGGAACCACGTGCCGTTGTCCAGGCACACGCGGAACGCAGACCCTGCGCACCAATGCAACGAAGGCAGCAATGAGCTCAGGCAGCAGACAAACAGGGTGACGTAGGAAAGAAGGAAAATTCAAATTGTACGCGAAAATGTACAAATGGTTTCGCGAAAGACTAACATTGTTGAACTATACTATAATAAAGTTGAGGTTTTGTCACTACTTGTATTGCTTTTACATTATTTATTTTAAGTTATTGTAAATATGTAAGGAAAAGACAACTTATTAACTTATTCGTATTACGTCTACATCTACATATATAGCTATATCAATAAAAGTAATAAATAATCAAACGATGTATCAATCATACACTGAAATTAACTGAAGAATGAATTTTATATATATATAAATTCATACACGAATATACGCACACAGATATGCATATAATAATAACTGAGAAATATGAGTTATAGGATAATAACCGAGAAATTAGTTTTAAATAAAGCATGTCATAATTTCAACTATATACGTCATGATGTGAATATCGTTTGTTGCATGTTTACTATCAGCGTCTATAGAATTCTCTAAATAGCGTATTGAGTGAAATAACAAGTTAACGTTAATTTGATATTTGTATGATGTATAAAGAAGACTACTTCTCCATAAAGACCAATAACACATCGGATGTATCTTTTTAAATTTCGTTACAGAGTAAAATCACATATTCATTAACTTTAATTGTATAATAATGCATACTTTATTTGAACAATATTCACAACAACAATATTCCTGTTTCTCCACATATATTTTTAATAAGAGATCAAGGTCAACCTAACAAGTTATTCAGATTTGAATTGCCCTCCTGATTAAACCAGACTAATTTTAAGTTAGTTTCTTAATACTTAATTAGTTGCTTAAGTAAAAGAAGGGATAATGGCAGAAACAAAACTTTAAATTTGCCGCTGTTCCATCCTTACCATATTATTTGAATGATGAAAGACGAACAGCAGTAATTAATACAACCTTTACTTATATGTTGTATGATTTCGTCTCAATAATTTATAATTTGATTTGAAGGTGGTTAAGATGAATTATTTACAATATTGTGCTTTAGATTTACAAAGCAATTTTGCACTAATTTGGAAGTGATTTCTGAATCAGCATTCAGAGGAATTTTGAGTGGGTTTTTTATGTCAAACAGTTGCACAATTTTGTGTTCAGTGAATACGACGGAAATGAGCCTGATTTACACCGCTGCTGATTGCGCCGTAAATGAAGTGTTCGTTCCCTCCCGCCCGCTTTCTGGAACGGCCGTCGCTGGGCGCAGAACGGAGGGACTAAAACGGAGGCGCGTCTTTCTCGAAACGCGATTTGATGCTAACTGCGTTATTGCTGCGTCTCATTTCGAGAGTAAACCGTTGGAGAAGGAACAAATATCGGCAGCGGGCGAAGGCGCGAGGTGCAACACGTCGAGGAAACGAAAGCGACCGCTAGGGAAACGCGGGATTGGTGGGGAATGTCCAAGGAAATTTGATAAAATAAAGTTCAGTTTTTGTAGAAAAGTTATTGATTGTAATATTCAGTTGAAATCATTTGATAAAAATGTAAGGTGACTGTCGTCGTAGTGAAACGGAATAGTAAATTTATGGAAGAGTATTAACCTAGCAATATTCACGTAAACGTAGATAAAAATGACAAAATTTCATTGTTTCGTGAGTTGTGGGGTTTCATTGCGACCATATTTTTAACGTTTTATTCTCATTAACGATCACTAAAGAGCATGCATAATTTATAATGAAAAGTATTTTTGAATTCATAAAAACTCAAAGAATTCAATTTAGGATCAGCAAATAGAGCATAGACTTAGTGTTTGCATCAGAATTTGAACCCTGACACAAAGACGTAGGGTGAAGCAGTCATTAGCGCCTATAGCAGTTTATAGCACCACGAGCGCTTGTTGCGTGACAGCCAGTGTGTGTGTGCTTATCACCACTGGTACCCGCCTTTAATTGTTGGTCAAATCACGAAGAATGAGTGGTGAACAAAGAAAGCTATCGATAGGCTTTTTCCGGAATTCTTACGTTTCTCCTTCATTATTCACACAATCAGTAGTACCGCTAACATCTATTCTTTAGGTCGTTTACAAGTGGGTCTCGGTAACCTCAACAGTTCACAATAAGTAAACGTATACTAATAAAAGTGAATTCAACGCCATGTAACTGTCATCTATTCCACAAAAAGGATTGTATGAATAGATACGAAGTTCTTACAGGCTCTTCTTCGGGAGAGTCAGTGTCCTTGCAAACTTCGGTAAAGATTAATACAACAGACATGCTGAAAGTAAATATTTTAATTAATATGCTAGTAGATGCACCACCATTATTTTTTGCCTCTCGGTAATCGCATGTTATTAATATATTACGCCAGAGACCTGTAGAAGAACTAGTATCTGATAGTTGCCAGCTAATATATTCCGCCTGTAGCGGTGAAACAAATGGTACCTAACAGTTTTGCTAAAGAGCAGAGCGGTGGATAAGTTTAAAAAAATTAATGAAATAGCAATGTCTTGTAAAATAAAACGAAAGAAAATTATAGTATTGTACTCCAACTTGAAGCTATTACATAGAAAATAATAATCTTAAACGCGGTTCTTCCACACGGATCAGACATGCAGAACGCCGCCGCGCGGGGGCGAGTACTCACTGCGCGGGTCGAAGCCCATGACGAAGTCGGGGCAGGGGTTGTAGGCCGTGCTGCCCGCCGGCGTGAAGTCCCAGCACGTCCAGCCGTCGAACGTGATGGGGCAGTAGCGCGACTCTGCGACAGCACGCGCACTCCCTCAAACACACGCGTGCAGGGCGTTGTCCAACTGGCGGCCCGCGGTGACATTCCGTGTGCCCCGGGAAAGGTTTTGTTTTTAAGTCAAAAGTGAGAGAGTCCCTTGAAGCTATATCGAGAGAGCACATAGCACGCCTAGTGCACGCTTGACGGAGTCAACACCCACATAATGTAAATGTAGATTGAAGTTTAGATTTTAAAATATTTTTCTAGTTAATTCAAAAGCATCCCATGTGTTTGTCTGCGTTATATCTCGTATTCCCCCCTCTCCTGTTTCAGAGCACCTGGATAAAGCGCAGCGATCAACACTACGGAGAAGTCAGGTGTGGATCGGCCGAGTACTGAAAATATGGCTCGCAACCATATTGCAGGTTTTAGTTGTGGTCCTTGAAGCCTTGCAAGTTGGACTCCCCTACACGAATTCATTTTACTCTCTCCTCCTCTGCTTCGCCCATTTCTCTGATTTGTTATTTCGTGCGCGCCAACTGCTAAGGTCATTAATCCCGTAAGTGAAGTGCAAGTTTTATGTGGGAGATAACGTTGATTTACCACCGCTGAATGGCAAAATCAGGCGCTGACTTACCCGTCATTTTGCGGTAATTTCTCCAACTAGGTATCTCTCACCAGCTGGAGCACTTCCCCAGCTGGGGCGTTAACTTTCATCGTTTGCTCTATCCTTTTCTGCTTTCATCTGTTTTTCACTCCAATTCGTCATCTGGCCATTCCCTGCATACAGCTCTTTCCCTCCCCTTCACTTAGAACTATTTTATGTATAGTACAACAGGAAGGTCTCTCCGCACCAAGCCCAATCAGGGGCTCCTATTAAAAAATGTATTTATGTTCGTAGTAACCAGATCATTGGGAAACAAATGATGAGGACAGCACAACCATCATCTGTTATGAATGTAATGGGTACGCAGTTAACATTTTCATTTGTTGCAAGCTGCAGTTGGTGCCACTAACACAATTTATGTTGCTAGCTTTCTCACGAACCAATGGCGCCACTTGGAGAGACTTTTCTGGCGAACTATATATTCAATACCTTTAATTGTCTCCTGTACTGTTGTCCTTCACTCTATCTCTGCTCCTCATTTTTATTTCTCACCGTCCCTCTTTTGTATATGACAATGAGTTCATTATTTTTCAGTCTTCTCCGCAATCCTCAATCATTCCTGAATTTTCCCTCCTCCTCTTTCTATCCTGTTATTTCCCTCCCTGTCTTTCTTCCCTAACATCTTACCATTTCTCACTTTTCATTTCTTCCATACTCAAATACTCTTCACACACTCAAATGTAATTTTCTCACCAAAGAAACGATTTGTTTCTATCGTTTGTATCTCCGAAACATTTTCATTTTGAAATCTCTTTTATTTATAAGACTAAAAAATGAACAGTAGTCCATTTGAAAATTGCAATATGATATAGATGTGTCAAAGAAAATAGAACAAGCGCGTAGAGTTCTGTTGGAAGCGCGCTGACATTACATAACATCAAATGAAAAGCTTTCATTAAAAATTCAACTAAAATGAACAGGAGGTGCGGCATATTTACTATTACGTTATGAATATTCCATAAAATTTGAATACATTTAAGCTTCAAAGGTACCATCATAATTATTTGTTTTATTAAATGGAATCGTAAATTCTCCCAATAGTCATACCATACGACTTCATTTCAAAAAGAAAAGATAATAGATTGAAAATGTGGTACCTTATGTTAATAAGACAAAGCTTGATCACTCTTTTGTATGTTATTAAACTCACACGTTAACACTTTTAGTATCATCATTTTAATATTTACATTAGAAGAAAGTGTTCAAAAATCATGTTTTATAACGTATTTATTTTCTTCCTAATACAATTCTATTCTACGTTTCTTACTACACGCCGTGGTAATCTTTGCACTTGCACGCGGTGTCTTCCCAGATGCAACGTTACCTGTGCTGAGAAAATCCCCAGCAATTCTAGAGTCGCCGCCAGACCTCAAGTTTCAGTGTGGAAGCAACACCGCCACCTCCCGTGTGTACTAAACCTAAGGGATTAATGACCTTAGAAGATGATGTTCCCTGTACCAATCATGATGATGTCCCTGGTACTCACTCTTCTATAGCATTAGTGAGGTTACGTTCGTGTGAGGCAAAGTGTTTTTACACTTCACGCGATACAGATCATCAGTTACCTCTTAGCATGTTGAAAACCTTCGTGCTCAAGCAGTTTTTAACAGTTACTGAGTAAAGCCTCTTAAGGCTGTTTCACGTGGTATAGTTTTCATGCAGATTTTCATGCAGAAGCTATCCAGATATCTAAAGATTCAAAACTGGAAGTAGGCAAATACGAAAATCGGATTAACAAGGTCTGTTCGCTTTCATTTTCATTTGTCACAATAGAAACTTACACCTTAACGAGCTCTGCCCTCAAAAATTCATTGCGCCATCCCAGTCTATTCTTTGGGGGAACCCAACGCCTCTCATCTCTTACTGGATGTATCAGCCGCAACAGGCACTTGAGCACGCGGTTTCTGTATGGAAAAAAGGATAAAAGGGAGGGAAAAGGACAGAAAATGAAGGAAAGAAGAAGAAAAGGAAGATAAGAATGAGAAAAGGAAGGAAGGACAAAAGTAAGTAAGAAAGGAAGGATGAAAGAAAGAAAGGAAAGAGAAAAGGAAGGAAGGAAAGCAAAAAGGAAGGAAGCAAAGAGAAAAGGAATGGAGGATAAAAAGAAGGAAAGAGAGAAGGAAGGAAAAAAAGAAGGAAGGAAAGAGAGAAGGAAGGAGAGAAGGAAGGAAAGAGAGAAGGAAGGAAAGAGAGAAGGAAGGAGAAAGAGAAGGAACGAAAGAAGGTAGGAAGGAAAGAAGGAAGGAAACAAAGAAGAAAAGGAAGAAAGAAGGGAAGAAAGCAAGATGACACGCACCGTCGCGCGTGACGTAGGCGGGCGGCGGCTGGCCGCGCCTGCGGTTGCACTCCTCGAGGCGGCGCTGCAGGAAGCGCAGGTCGGCGCCGGGTGCCGGTGGCCCCGCGCCCACGCCCTCCGCTGCCAGGGTGCGCAGCTGCGCCAGCAGCGCCTGCAACACACGCCCTCGCCCTCACCCTCACCCTCACCCTCACCCTCACTAGCTCCCACGCTGCGGAGCACTTCTCGCCAGCGACTGTGCAATGGAACTCGCTTGGGCGGCGCATGGAAGCTGGTGACCGCAAGAAAATAACACAAGCGCACAGGGAGTTTAACCCACAAGTAAATTGGAAACCGACCCAGAGAAGGGCATACGTAAATTGGTTCCTTCCTTTTACCTACCTTCCTGGTAAATGTGGAAGGTGACACTTCATTTTCAAACAAAATTTTCATAGCTATTAGTTTTAAAACACAACTCCCTTCTCAACTTTTCATACATAGGTCTGGCATATTTCTGTCGAAATATGGTTCGGTTAGAGTTATTTTCATTCAATTGAATCACTCATATATTGAATGAATTGTGCTTATCATGCCATTTTTATATTCTATCTTTTTTTGCTAATATTGTATAAAGCTGAACATTAAATATGGACACTTTTCTAGTGTTTTGTTTGCTTTTTATTTTGATATAGGAGCGAGTCTGGAAGATTTTCAATAAGGCACAAGGAGAAGCAGGGCAGCAGTTCGGCGGCGGTGGCGACCCCCTTAACGCGCGTACCTGCTCAATTAGTCCTTTTCCTTACCTGGGTTTATTTAGTCCCCATTTTACATGGAAAATTGGAAAGTAAGTTGCGCTAGAAGAGATGAAGAGATTATTGGATCTACAATTTACATACGGCCAAGAAGGGACACGCTCCCGTGTCGGAGTGAGCAGCAGTATCTCCTACGTAAGGGCAAGTACTCGTGAATTTGGAACTGGTAGCGGCGGAGTTACAACGCTACGCCGACCTAAGTTACGCTCTCTCAAATGCGCTTCTACTGGACTGCGGCAACTTGGAACTGGACTTGGCTGTCTCTCCTGGCGAACCAACTCTCGGCAAAAAATTGTATATATGTATGCGGATAAGGAAAAATTGTAGCGAAGAGTTCAATAAAGTGTTACTGTTTCTTTTTGTTCCTATCATTTGATACATTTCAGTATATTACAAGGTTACATGCAATTTCACATGTCATATTAGCTCCTCACTGTTAGGCAACCTCGTATATGAAATGTACTCGACGATTTCAGATTATGACCTGCCATACATCTCTTCATTAGGAGTCAGCTACAAACTCAGAGCAAATGTTACATGTTTAACTCCGTTCTATAAAATTTATCACTAACTGGCAAAAAGTGATCATTTGGAATCATCGGGAAATGCAAAGTTCAATTTTTTTTCCTACAAGTAGGCTGCACTATTAGCGATTGAGTTTTTTAAATTAAATTTGTTGTTTAAAGAAATAAGGTCATGTGCAATTTTTTGAATCGATCTCTTGAATAGATTTTAATGTCGGCATCCATGACTGAGGAGTGTGTTATTCAACTGCCTACAGGAAAAGGGATAAGAAAATGTTCAAAATAATAAAAAATGGTGTCTAATGAAATGTTTAGCAGATATTGATCGTGTCACGCATTGTATCAATGAAACATGAAGACTCATGTGGATGTGATTTACTTCTGCTTCTCAACCCCTCTCCTTCATCTTCCATGTCACGAATGCGTTTTCTGAGAAGCAGAGGTAAGTTTGAGAATTCGCGGCCAATATTCGGAGATGACAGAAGCGCATTACTACATTGCGTTATTTCACACAAAAGCTATTCCAGGACCAGCCTAAATTAAAAATGTGTCTGGAACGTTGCGTTTAGGAATGTACATATATAGTATGTAATAAAATAATTAAGAAATATAAGGTTATTATAAAGTGTGCATTGAAGTGTAATTATGTAGAAATATGTAGAATTTCTGAAGTACAAGTGGTTTTAATTGATTTAGATTGTCTTGCAAACTCACATTGAATCAAACTATTAAATAGCAGTAAAAATATGAGTTTTCATGTACCCACTAAAAGTATTATTATTATTATTATTATTATTATTATTATTATCATTCATATAAATAATTATTATTATATGAATATTCATATAATAATTATCCTTAATAATGAAGAAGACACGGGTTTGCTTTTCCACCCAAAACGACTCCTCTCAATATTATAATAGTTATTTTACGGGCAAGCAATCAATTTTTATAAGCAGGTTTCTTTTCTAAGGAAAGATTCACAGCAGCTTCATGAGGAAACGCTGCACAGATCGAGGATCGTTCTCCTGCCCCAGCCTCCTTTGCAACCACAACGGCGCACGTGACCACGGCAGCGAAACCTTGTGTCAGCAACCGGCAGAACTCCAGGTCCAACGACATTCTATAAACCCTCGACAACCAGAAAAGCTTCTGCATCCAAAAGGCTCTCCCTCGCCGATTAGACGTGTTCATACCCCTGCAGGAGCGTGTTCTATGGCACAGAACCTTAATAAAGTCACATCATCCCTTTGATTTCACGTCAGCATTCCTCTACCGCCAGCTCGCAGCAATAAAACCACAGATGTCGCTGTAGCTGCGCGCAGACGAAATAATCAGATTTGAAGTAGACCCCGGAGCGTCAGAGCATGTAGCTTTGCGTCTCTCATTAGTGTAGTTATCTTCAAATTCTGTGCTGTTCATAGTTTCCACTGCTTTTCTTGTGCATGAGAAAGTGTTAAACTAAAGTCATTAGGACCAGAGATATAATAAAACTATTAGAATACCGGTGTCATAATGAAGTTTGTTATAACTTGCGCGTGAGGGCGTTAATTGAAGAGCGTATCGTCGTAGTTATAGTTATTTACGTTACAAGGTCTGGAAGTGCATTATAACCGTACGAGCCGGAATTTCGAAACGAGTGCAGCAATAAACACTTCTCAGACTTGAGACGAACCAGGTTTTATTTTCATACAAGATCACTTTTCACTATCCAACGCGAATATTATTTAGAACATTGGCGATCAACAGAAGAAAAAAAAGGTACAGGAAGCAGGGCAGAGAGATCCTATGTCTTGTAAAATTTATTACCAATACGTTTTGTAAATGTTATGAAACACGACTTGGTGTGGTTTGTGACAAAAAGTGTCATCTCCAAAATGCTTCAAGCTAACAAAAAGTATCAGAGAGCATTAAAATATTTATAATTAGTTGTGGGATGTTAGATTTGAAAATATTGAAGATAAATGGGAACAGTTTACGTGCTTGATGGGACACCTGCAGAAACGGAATTTGATAATGTTAACAATTGTTTTTATTAACTTGTAAATCTATTTTCAAGAAACATTCTTATTAAATTTAAGAGATTATACCTAATTTCCTACATATATAAAATTGGTCTATTCCTAAAAAAGCTTAAGGAAAAATTTTGAAAATCTTACCCTGTCAAATGCTCATATGTGAAAAAATACGTACAATTAATCAATCTAATACAATCTTTGTAATGTTCTTATTTAGAATAGTTGTTTCGTCAAAAACCTTACTTAAAAGGTCACTACTGAGGTTTAAAAGGCGAAATTGTATGATGAAATTGATTTTACATACTTTATATTGTGTTTTTTGAAACTTTAAGCTATGTTCAAAACAAAGAAGAAGCAGCAGATACCGAATACTAGCAACCTACAAAGTAAATACCCCGAAAAAAATAAGTATGTACAGAGAACTCGCAGAGCTCATAAAAACATGGTCTATTGAAGTGATCAACATTAATACTTTCAAACCCGGAGTCATTCCGGCAGATCTGATATGAGGCTTCAAACAATTGGGTGTGAAAGTAGTCAAATTCAAGTCGTCATGCAAAGTCATCATATCAGTTGGGCAGAGAGCAGTATTGACAGAAACAATAAGCACTGATCAGAAATTCGTAGAAATCGAAATTATGTTATTTTAATTCAGTGTCATGTTCAATTGCGTGTAAATTGATTGAACGTTGATCTGAACCATAATAGAGTTAATCACGTGAATACACCAACTATGAGAAAATAAAGAGAAGATAATAATGTTTTTCTTTCCTTCCTTCTTTCATTCTTAAACGTCAAAAAACTATTAAAACTATGTGCTACGTACCATGAGACATGCAATCTATGCAGTTTCTTGACGTCTGTGATCTCTACCCCTGGGTATGAGGTTGAATTATGAACGCAGAAGTATGAACATTATGAACAAGAAAAATATTCTAATGGAACGGTTTAAAAAGGTCTCAGACAATAAAAGATGGACACCTAGAAAACATCTGTTTCAGTTCTTCTAACTAAATATTTTTGCGATATCTTACAAGTCAAGCTAATTTCCTCCACCGAATGTACGATTTCTTTCTTTCTTTCTTTCTTTCTTTCTTTCTTTCTTTCTTTCTAAGTACACACACGTTACTTGAAAGTGATTACGATTGGAAAGTGGCAAAAAGAAACATAAACGAAATCAAGGCCTAACGACACGAAAATAGCGGTTCTGATTGACGAGTCGGTATTGACGTGCCGCAACTCCATTTTCCCCAGAGCAAATATAACTTTTCCGAAAATCATTTTTCGTTTGCAACGTGGAACGTGCGTCTCGTTTTATTACTCGACTTCCCTCGTCATTTACGGCGCTCAATAACTTCGCCACCGCCAGGACAAAGTCACTTCCCAGAACGTCCTCAACGGGGAGGGGCAGGTGCAGCTACAGTAGAGGCTCTCCGTCTGTCTGAGACCTAAACGATGCTCTAGATTTTCGCCTTGGAAGGGAACAAGTCTCTATCCAACTTCATTCCAAAATGCGTTTCAAGTTCATTAATGAGTGTCAAGATAATAGAGAGTGTTGTGATTACACGTCGGATATTCAGGCAAATGCTAGGGTTACCGTACTTCCATTATAGAAAAAGAAGACATTTGTTATCAAAACGAGGACATTTCATGTAAAATGTTTTAAAATAATTATTTATTTCTCTTGCAGGCAAAATACTAACCAAGTGCAAATATATACTCTTACTTCAATAATTGTCACCATTTTCAAA